GGAGGAGCTGGCTCCGATCAACAGCCAAGAGGATGCCGAAGCCCYGAATGAGGCCCTTTTCGCATCGCCCGTAGCCCCCAACGGTCCGGTTGCGATGGATGCAACACCCCCGTCCTCTACCGTAACTACTGCGGTCAACAGTTGTAACTCAACAGCGAGGCACCTCAAGAGAAGTCCCAGGTCGAAGGCGAAAACGTCGTTGTTCGCACCCTGAGAGGAGGTTTGCTAATCTTTTTGCGATTCATTTTTATCATTGTTTTCATTCACTATTTAATTCATTTTTTTTCATTCATTTTTTTTCATTCATTTTTTAATCACTTTTTTTCATTTCTCTCATCATTTTTTACCAGTTCTGTTTTCATCATTCTTTTCAAAAAAAGAATTTTTGTAATTTTGTAATTTCGATTATRTCAATTTGCCTACTTACCTRTGTTTCCTGTTTTCACGATGGGGATGGKTATACGATGACCGACGAAACTKGTCGGAAAAAGTGGGTCAGCCCAAGACCCCCGAAGGCAGATCTCTACGTCCACATCAAGTATTCCAGCAGGGCAATGRAAACTGTAAACTWSAGATCCATTATGGAGAGGGTTTTTGAGAGCTTCTTCCCGCCATCAGCTATTATCCTACTTTCAGCCATTGTTATTRGATGGACTTATACTCAGTCGCTTGAATCRGTTGTTTATAGACCATCGTTAATCTTCAGGGATTTTGTTTTGCACAAATGATTGGACACCTGTGTTGATGCTGTGCTCTGCCCATGTACTGCGCCTAGGTTTCTTAGGTTTCATCTCCYACAGACTCRGGACATGTCTCAGCCATGCGCAGMCCCTTCTACGCATGTGTTGACTCTCGATATAACCATCRTCYAKAACACCCTATTCAGAAACCTGTTGAGATATGGAYTGAACCATATTCCCTTACAACCTCGGGACTTGTCTGCTGCTTTTAAGGAATTCTTTAGTGCTTGGCACATCATCCTTGATTTCGTGACGAAGAKAACTTTTATACCACCGGCTGTTGTTAAGCATACGTCGGTGTTCGTCTTTGAGCAAATCAAGCTACAACTGTCAAGCTTTGGACYCCGGAAGCATTCCGACCCCCCATGCCCGTTAACTAYGCATGCTGTAAAGCAGGAAATTGGATTTCTCCTTAACAAATTTYATATCGCTGGCACGGACAAGTTTTGTAACACTCCTTCCTTTGCYTGTATTCACCTTGTCAGAAAAATGGCATTAGAAAGACTCRATGGACYGGACTTTCAAAGRGTTAACTGTACTCCTCAGGAGATTTTTGATGAAGCTTGCACARCACTTGCTGCCATCTCCCCAAGCATTGYTATTGACCCTCCCAAGATGYCGTACCTTATGGCGCTGTACAAACAGCACAAAACGTCGTTCARATGGTTTACTAATGCCGCCACKCCTTTTCTCACACTTGTCGCTACAATCTGTGATGCWGTGATTAAATGCCTTATCCCCCTAGTTAAAGCTAAATGTAAGGAGATTGCTGACGGCCTCCGTACTTTCCATGGAGTAGACACATCCTTATGGTAGGCTATTRATTCTGTCCAGGAWTATTGCTACAATCTCCCCAGTAATRTTTTCTCGGTATTTTCTGCGGATATATCTCGTTGTTTTGAAACGATCCCAATTGGACCAGAAGATGATGGGTTCCCTGCTGCATGCGTCTTTTTTCTAGACCTTGCTTGGAAATTTGCTGAAAGGAAGAATTTAGGTTCAATTTTAAGGTGCAGGGTCAAAGTTAATGGTAAAGTCGTGTGTGCAATGAGTAAAAGTAAGGGGCAATATTCGTCCTCTTTGATCCTGTTGAAGCAGTTGGATGTCACCAATCTGATCGATTGGATTCTGCAGAGAAGTTATACATCATTAGGGGGACAGATTTGGAGGCAAATACAGGGCATCCCTATGGGACTGCCTTGCTCCCCCTCCTTGTGCATCATTTATTTCTTCAGATATGAATTATCGCTGATTATACGTATTGTCCATAACAAGGCATATCACCTACTCCCGCTTTTCAAGCATACGTTCAGGTATATTGACGATTTTCACTGCCTTAATAACCCATCTATTCTTAAATTACTAGATACTGCTCAGCCTAAAACCAACACCAATGTCTTCCACCTTTACCCACTACATATAATTGAAATCAAGAATCAGACAGAGGTGTTCACGCAGGATGATGGTGGAAATATCTACGGGTTAAAGACTTAATTTCTCAACTCCAAAATCACCGTACTCTCTAAACATACAGGTGATTTTTTTACTACCAAATTGGATAAGAGACGCTTGTTGAATTTCCCAATGGTCAAATACGTCAAGTTTGCTTCCAACAGGCACACGCAACAGTCATTGAACATAATAATTTCGCAGGTTTCGTTGATTATGGTACTATGTTCAAGGCCTGAGGATGCGGCAAAAGAAATTTTTGGCGTCGTCTTCACAATGGTTAATAATGACTTCCATCTGCGAAAGTGTATACCTTGTGTGTTAAAGGTCCTTAACTCTCCCTCTCAATATGTATATCCCAGGGTGAACGTCAAGGATACACTCGTGAATTTCAAGGTAATGACCACCTCCAGGTTATTGTATGTTTGTGATTGTGTATTTGAAGTGTTCTATCTGATTCATTTTCAGCCTCGACCTATAGTGGCTGTAAGTGGGAGCTGACAAATACCTTGCCTTGGGGCAGGTACCTGCTATCTGCCCCTTCGGCTTCCTGCGAGCGGGACAGGGGAGGGTCACACACACACACACACACACACACACACACACACACACGCACATAAACTTGAGACTTATATATATACACACATATATATATAATTTGTATATAAATTTTATCATTGTTATTATTTCTATTTTTTGTCTTTTATTATCATCAATATTTTTCATTTTTTATGATGGTTTTAACCATGCATATATATATATATATATATATATATATATATATATTATACTTTTCAGTATTTATTAATATATAGGGTTCAGCCTCCTGATGAGTCAGTGAAACTCCGACGAAACAGTTTGTCACAGCCCCTCGTTTGTTGTCCTCTTCTCCCTCTCTGCCTACGGTTTACCGGGCAGTTCTATTTGACGATATATAGTTTTATTTTTCAGTTTTTATTTATTATTATTATTTCTTATTATTTTATTGCTTTTTATGCTTCGTCATTTTTCATTTTTCATTTTTTATTTTTTATTTTCTCTAAGCCCCCCCCCTTTTTCTCCCGTTTCGTTTACCTGTTCTACGATGAATACCCATATGTTCGAAGAATTTTTAGGCCTAAGCGGCAATTTGTATTCCCGTGGTGATTCACACCTGCCAAGGATGCACGTCCCTTCGCGTAAAAAAATATGTACTAACAATCCGATGGATATTGGAGAAAAAGCTTTAGGGAATTTCCCCCTTGATGAGCCAATCCGGTGGATATTGGAGAAAAAGCTTTAGGGAATTTTCACCAATACCCTTACACGTTTCGTCAGCACTTAAAAGGCTGCTTGGCCGAATTGAGATTTCTTAAAAGCCTCTCATGCGCATTACCCCCCCTCTCTCTCCCCTGATCATTGTGGATGTTTCCTAATCGTGTTTGCCTCCCTTGTTATGAATGTCTTCGTTGTTGTGATGAGTGTGCGTAGGATTTGCTCGCGTCTTCAGGATTGAAGTAAGCTCTTGCACTTTGCGTTCGATAGGAGATGGATGGTACTGCTGTTATTGTCATCATCGCCATGTTCATGGCCACTCTGGCCTTCTTCATGTTCCTGGATTCAAAGTATAATCGCTCTTGTTGCGCGTGCATGATATGTACTAACAACTGCACCGTAGCTGCCAGATCTGTAGAGAAGTGTTTTGCATAAGATTATTAGGGATGGCTACTTTCGTCGCGATTTCGTTCTTTCGACTGATGTTGCTCGTAATTGGTTCCGCGTCGATGTCGACCATATGTGCACCTTCCTTTCTCCTTCGGAGCAGCTTGGTTGAGTTTGTCAATGAACGAGGGCATTGCCCGTTGATTGCTCTTTTTTATGCATTGATATGGATTCCTCATGTTTTCCTTATGTTCACCGTTGCTTACACTTGGAGAAGGTTCGGGAATCATCGTAGCATGCATACGTGGAATGGGAGGGTCTCCGTTTCGGATAATATGGGTAGGGATGTATTATACATACAGTGGAGCTGCTCCTCGATGGTCTATGACTGATCGTGGTTCTTTGTAGGAGGATGAGGAGAAAGAGGGTGTATGCGGATAGGCTATTGGTCTTTTGAGACTTGGTGGTGGCTGGTGAACGCTAAAAGGAGGGTCTAATCAATGTTAGATTCAATTGGATCTATGCATGAGTAATCGTTTCTGAAACAGGGATAGGCGGTATCGTGGGGGCATATTCCACATGTAGTCTTGATTCTCGTATATATTTGTTTTTATCTCTCTATCTCTCCCTCTCTCTCTCTCTTTCCCCCCCCCCTCTCTCTCTCTCTCTCTCTCTCTCCTTCTCTCTGTGTTTCTTGACACCTTCCAATTCGATTAATGCTTGAACTTTATAATTGGGTACCTTATATTTTTGTGAGTAGTGTCATCTAGCATGGTTTCATAGGGGGGAGTGCTTTCTTGATAATCTTCACAATTCGAACGCTAGGTGTTTTTTTGTAAGTCATGTTGCGTCTGCATCTTTGAATAACTGGATTACTTCCGAGTTGTAGATTTTCTCAGAGTAATTGGTGCTTGGATTTGCGAAATCGACGTGTTATTCAGGCTGTCTGTTTCCTCTTCGTCAATTAGTAATTATGTCCCTTCCTGTTTGTTCTGGGATTTCGGTTTTTTTGTCCAAACTCTGTATTTCAGTCTTCTCCCTTCTCTATTCTTTCCTCTTCTCCTCCTCGAAGTCTTCTAAGTCTTCCTCTCATGCTTCTATCCATGATGGTAATGAATCTCCTTGTCATCCTTTCGAGTTTGCTGGAAATCAGGCATCAGATCAAATGTGTGCAACTTATTGAGTTCATTTGTATCCGCGTAAAAACATTTTTCCGTGAATACGAATCTCTGCTGTTTCAAAGTTTTATACCCCAATTCTTTCGACATATGGGTATCGCAGATATGTGAATTATGACTTGCTGCGACGTGTCGCGGTGGCCTTTTGTCGTATAACTAAAACACACACACACACAAACACACACACACACACACGCACGCACGCCCAGACACAACCAATTTAATAGTTTCATGTGTGCATCAATTGAGCAGCCTGCCAATGTGCAAAAGGAGAAGGAACCTTCCGCAAAAACATCGAAAAAAAAAATCCCGGTGTGAGTATGGACTTAGGAGTTGTCAGATGCATCCACTTCCCCTTTCCCTTCCCACTCCTCCCGCTCCTCCTACTCTCGCTCCTCCTCCGCCAAACAACGCGACAAAGATACCGCCGTAGCCCCGCTCCGGCTCCTTCTCCCGCTCCTCCTCCCTCTCCTCCTCCCTCTCCTTCTCCCTCTCCTTCTCCCGCTCCCCCTCTTGCTTCTCCTCCCTCTCTTCGTGCCGCTCCTCCCGCTGGTTCTCCTGCTCTTCCCCCCGTTCCTCCTCCCCATCCTTCTCCGGTTTTCCTTCCCCGCTCCTTTTCCCACTCCTACCGCTCCTTCGGCTTCTCGCACTCGTCCTCCTCCTCCTCCTCTCCCTCTCGCTCCTCCGCCCAACAACATGACAAAGATCCCGCCATAACCCTGCTCCCGCTCCTCCAACTCCTCCTTTGTCTCCTTCTTCTCCTGCTCTTCCCCCCGTTCTTCCTCCCCCTCCTCCCACTCCTCTTTCCGCGCCATAGCCCCGCTCCCGCTCTTTCCCCGCTTCTTCTCCCACTCCTCTCCCGCTCCTTTGCCCACTCCTCATTTTCCTCCTCTTTCTTTTCCACCTCCTCATCACGACTTCATCATCTCGCACCTTCTCTTCCTCCTTCTTGTCTTCGTCCTCCTCGTTACTGCTCTCACTTGTGTGACACGTGGTGCATCCAGACATTTCTTTTTATTTTTTTTTGTCGTTATATTCTTCTCGTACTTCCCTCTTTTTGGTGACGTCCTTGATCTTATCTCGATCCCTGGTTTCCCACCTTTTTCTGCCCCGATCCCGACCTCCCTTTATCCCGATCCTGCTCCCCAGTTTGACACCTTTTTCTCCTCCCACCTTCCCCGATTCTGATCTCCCTCTCTTTCTGCTCCCGCCTCCCCAATCTCGACCTCCCTCTACCGCAATCCCGCTTCTTGCTCATCACAATGTCTACTCCGATGCCGCTTCCCACTGACCCGGCCTCGATCCACTTTCCCCGATCCACACAAACACACACACACGTGTAGTAGTGTATATTTACATGTCCTAGCGGAAGATTCATTTGATGTTGCTCATCCTATCAATGCAAGTAGCGTGAAGTCAGCCCCAGGGTTGGAGACTTACCTGTTCCCCGCTCAGTATCTCATCCAATCTCTCTTTCTCTCTCTCTCTCTCTCTCTCTCTCTCTCTCTCTCTCTCTCTCTCTCTCTCTCTCTCTCTCTCTCTCTCTCTCTCTCTC